GTCAAAAGGGCTAAGGTTCCACAGGACACTCAGAAGAGGAAGTTGCACCAGGGCCTGAGCAACAAGCAAGATTGCTGGAAAGGAAGATGTGATGCTGGGGGCCTGGCCCAATGTACTACATTCCTTGCCAAGCATGTTCTTTTTTTTTTAGCTGAGCCATCCTGCCACATGTTGGCAGCTCAGCAGCAGCTCAGCTCGGGTCGGGCATGGAACTGGCGACCCTGTTGCTCAGAGCTTGCACTCTTGAGCGAGTTCTTAACGAACTGAGCCACTCGGCCTGCCCACCAAGTGTGCTCTTTTAACAGGGCAGGCTCTCTCGGGGTAGTCCGTCCACATCAGTGATGATGATGGTAACTTATCCAGCACACACTCTGCGCAAGCCAGGACTGTAGACACTTTACGTTCAGTCCTTCCAATAAATCCATGAAGTGGGTACTATTACTATCCCCATTTTACAGATAAGGAAATTGAAGGACAGAGAGGATATTTGCCCAGGGTCACAAAACTAGTGAGTAATAGTAATAGAATTTGAACCCACAGTCTCATTCCAGACCCCATATTCTTGAACTGCATCAGTAGGCTACCTTCTTGATCTCTAGCTTTGGCTGTACCATAAAAATCATAAGTGGAGCAACGATTTGTTGAGTGAGTTCTGCTAAGGAAGCCCTTCTAAGCACTTTGTTTCTCATTTATTCCTCCATTAATCCAGGAGGCAGATATTATTATCTCTGTGATCAGACTGGAGCTCTTGAGGCTGTGCCCACGGCTGACAAGCTGGTAACTATTGGGTTGTCGGAAAAGTCATGAAGTATTTTTTCTATGTTTTTCGTTGCAAAAATGCATCACGGGCCGGCCGAGTGGCTCAGTTGGTTAAGAGCTCACTCAAGGGTTTGAGCTCTGAGCAACAGCGGTTCGAGTCCGGTCTGAGCTGAGCTGCTGCTGAGCTGCCAACAGGTGGCAGGATGGCTCAGCTAAAAAAAATGCGTCATGACTTTTCTGACAACCCAATAGAACATGCAGGTTTTGAAGGTGGGTTCATGTAACAAAACGCTACCCCGGGCTGCTTTGTCCTTGGGTCCTTGGCTCCTCTATGACTGTCTTCATGGAAAGGGCTTTATCCTAGAGGATCCCCAGGTGGAAATGATGGCACCATCAGGCTTCAGGATCGCTCTGCCATTGTTCTTCCAGGGCTGGGCTTGAGGAAGAGAACCTCCCATTTTAACATCCTCCCTGCGCTCTCCAGAAGGGCTAAAGGGAACTCTACCAATCCTGAGGGATCTTTTAAAAAGGAGGATATGATTAAGAGTCGCAACCAACACCACCATTTACTGAGCACTTAGCACATGCCCCCACACCATGCTGAGTGTTTTACACACAGCACCTCATTCATTTTTTTACATTCACGATATGCAGTAGGGACTGACTCAACCCCCATGTTATAGGCAAGGAAATGGAGGCCAAAACAGTTAAGTGACTTCCCCAAAGTGATGCAGCCCAGAAATGGTGGAGCTGGGATTAGCTACCAACAGAGAACAGGAGGCGTACCTATTAACATCTGTCTGTTTTCCTTTTGAAAGCCTAATGAAAACGACTTCACAGTGATGGAGTACTTTCATTAGCTCATTGAAAGGCAGAGTATCCTTGACCAAAGCCCCAACCTTTGAAGTGAAACCCAAGCTGCTCCACTAAACTAACATCAACCCTGCCCAGAGACCTGTTTCCCAGCCAATACCCCAACAAGGACATCACAATCTAATGGCCTGGGCTATCCCAGCCTGTGTTTCTCAGTATGTCCCAGGCAACCCTGGGCTGCCAAAGAGGACGCTAAAGGAGAACAAGTAGGAGTCAAGGAGACAGAGCAAATGAGGCTCCTTCTGTGGGGCACCTGCTCCATGGCAGTCTGGGGAGAGGGCTGCCCCATTTACTTCCACTGTCCCTATCTTCCTATCAATCAAGCTAATTTATTTTTAACAATGTGCTCATTGAAGAAACTTTGGGGAAAAAACAGATATGAAAAAGAAACAAAAATCACCCATAAACTTACTCTACAGAAATAAATATTACTCTTTTGGGATCTATTTCCCATCTATTTTTGTTGTTGTTTTAACATAGTTAAGATTATATTTTATTCAAATATACAATTTTGTAATCTGCTTCAAAACAGAAATGTATTCTCATATTATTTTTAAACATCATGTGCATGGGAAAATTGTATTTTATTGAACTCTCTGGGCAAACCATGTTTTGGAGTATGTACCCCTACATACCCCATCCTTCTAACTTTCTACTCCATCCCCGGAGACTACAGTTCTGGATAAAATTAACTAAAGAGGCACAGGTCTAGAGGATACTAAGCACAGTAGTGGGCCGAGGAGTGTGGGCTAGAGAGTAATGAGACAAAATAAGTCTATATATTAAAATCAGCCATCTCCTTCCTCTGTTCCTGTTCTTACAACTCCAGCAGTTGGTCCCATGAACCCCCCCCACCACCCCACTGCAGCTCCAACTCTGTTACCCTTAGGCAGGAAATTGGAGGATTCCTCTCTGGAAAAACTAAATAGCTTCAGAGGAAAAGAAAAACCTACAAATGATGACATTTAGGGATACCTTCAACAAAGAAGGTTAGTCCACTGCCTGATCTCCCTACAGTGAGAATGAATGATCCAACAACAAGTCCTGCCCACGCAGAGTCTTGAGTCAACATATCAGTGCCTTACACTTTAACATAGACAGACCGCCCGGATTACCATAACTAAGAGAAAACCCTCCCATATGAAAGACAGAGCCCAAGAGAAACAGGAAAAAAATGGCACAGGGGTAGGAAGACAAAAAGACTATGCTTGGAACAGATGGAAACTGGAAAAAAAAAAAAACACCTCAGAGAGATAAGAAAGAATATTGTGGTGATACAAATAATAATAGGCTGCTTCAAAGAAACAACTGGAGACCAAGAAAGAATTTTAAAATATAATAGAAAAATTAAAAAGTCAATAGAAGAGTTGGAAGATAAAAACAAATCTCCCAGAAAAAGAGGAAGTAAAAAAGATGGAACTATCAATTGAAAATAAAATATGCAAAGTAGATCAATCAAGAAAGTCCAATATCTAATTGAAGTTCCAAACAAGAGAACAGAGAACATGAACATAGAGAGGAGAGAATTTGAAAAATAGTACAGAAACCCCTTCTAGAACTAAAAAACATCAGTTTCTACTTTGAAAGGGCCTAACAAATGCCCAATAAAATGAATGAAAAAAGACCCATTTCAAGACATAGTATCATGCAATCTCAAAACACTGAGAATAAAAAGTTCCTAAATCTTTCAGAAAAAAAAAAAAATGGGTTACATATAATGGCACCAAACTGCTCAATAACAACCAGGATGCTAGAAGACAGTAAAGCAATGCCTTCAAAATTTGAAGGAAACGTTGTTCCTGTCTAGAATTTTATACTCTGCTCCAACTATTAATTTGGTGCTAACCTGGAAAAAAGGTATTTTTCAAACATAAAATGACTCAAAATATATATTTCATACACCCTTTCTTGGAAAACTACTAGAAAATCACTTCAGCAAAAGAGAGAAAAACCGGGGCCGGCCGAGTGGCGCGATGGTTAAGAACTCGCTTGGGATGCCAGAGGGCCCCGGTTCGGATCCCACATATGGGGGCCAGTGACACTGCCCTCCACAGCTAAGATGCTGAACAACAGCTCAACCTGGAGCTGGGCTGCCGTGAGTCGCCGGCGGCGGCGACGGCGACGGCGACGGCGTAGGCTGCAGCCCCTTTGGCAGTGGGTTGCCATGGGCTACCGTGTGTAGCCAGCAGCCAGCATGAGTGGCCAGCAGCCGCAGTGAGCGGCCATCCAGAAGCCCGCGACTGATCTGCCTCGCCAGGGAAGAGCGCAATGATGGTGCCAACTTGGGCCAGTGAAGCAACATCCTCCACAACTAGATTAAGAACAAAAATGACAGCAACTTGTACGTTCTCCTTCCCCCAGTTCCCCAGCACTGTTCCCATCCCCCCAATTCCCCAATAAAAAATAAAAATAAAAATAAAAAAAGAGAGAAAAACCAATAAAGGAGAGAAGGAATCCAGTAAAAAAGGGATACAACACAGGACAATTATAAAGGGAAGTTCCACTGTGACAGCTTGTATCAGGTCCAAACAACCAGGACAACCTGGGGCAGGATGGAGGACATGTGAGGGAGGTCTCCAGAAAAATAATGGAACCGAAAGACTGTTTGATGTCTTTAAGCATTTAAAAAAACCAAAAACAAACTATTGTTAGGCACTTAACAGATCTAATAGAGCAACTGGGGGAAAAAGTAGTGATTGGTACAAAAAGACTAAGCAAAAATAACAAGCGAAAAAAGGTAATTATTAACCCCAGGAAATATAAAAGGTTGTATAAGACAGAAATAGTAATCTTAGTTACTACTTTGCCCAGCAGTAAATAATACATATAGTGTCATAAAATGTAGATACCAACTACTGATTTAATCAAAACATTGACATAATTCCTCAAAGAAAACTAGGTAAAAGGGAAGTGAAGATATTGGTACAAAATAGCTAAATCTTTATCTCCCATAATGAGAATGTAATAGTCTAAAATGTATAATTAATTAAATAGCAATATGAAGTCTTATTTAGAAATATGGAACTAATTATTAGCAAAAGCCAGAAAGAAGCTACTTCAAAGAAGTTGAACTACGGGTGAGAAGAGAGAGGCAAAGGGCTGCTATTCTCATTATAAGCCTCTTAGAAAAAATTTTTCAAAAATGTTAATAGTAACTCTCTGAGTGGTAGAATTTCAGGATGTTTTAATTAATTTTCTTTTCTTGGCTTATCTAAACTTTCTGTAACAATCTTATATTACTTGTGTAATTTTTAAACGTTTTTAAGTTTTGTACTTTTTTTTTTTTTTTTAAGTTTTCCACAGCGTAAGTGATACAAAACCCTACACAAATCAGGGACTAAACTTTGTACTTTCCTCTGGGGTCTTACCTTTTATCGTGGTCAAAATGAAGAAAGCAATGAGGGTGTTGTTGATGGCGCAGGTAGACTTGGCAACACAAGACAAGACGGTGTAGGGATTTAAAAGATAGCTGGGGAAAAAGACACATATGTGGCATTAGTAATTCTGGTCCTCTGAATCCTGGCCACTACAGGAAGGAAGTTCAAGAGATTTACTAAAAGCATCCGCAAGGGAAGGAAGCTTCTTAGAAATGAGTTCTCCTAAGTAAAAGAGAATGGAGTGGGGTTGGGGCCAGTGAGGAAAAAGCACTGAACACTCACCACTCCCTATCTGTGCTATGTGGTATTTGGAAAACTGTCTTATTTAATCATTACAGAGATTCTATAAACTAGCAATAACCTGTTTTGCAGATAAGGAAACTGAGATGCAATGCTTAAGTAACTTGCCCAAAGTTTCACAAGTTCATAAATACATTCAAAACCTGGTCTTTCTGGCTCTAAAGCTTATGTTCATTCTATTACTTTAGACTTCAAAATGATAAAATTATACCAATTCCCCCACAGCCATATATCTTAGGAATTGTTATACCTGTCTCTGAAGCCCAGGAAGAAACCTTTTCCTCAGGATCTTAAGTTCTGACACAGGCTAGCCCCATTCAAGGGGTCAGAGCAGCTTACATTTAGCCCCTCTTGGTAATCAAGCAGTATCCACCCAGCCAGATTCCAAGGGCAGAAATCATATCTGCTGACTTCAACAAGCTAGTTGCCGTGGAACTTCACAGGATACCTTGAACTTCCACTGGGAAGGAATTAAGCTGAAACACCTAGTCTTTTCCTGAGGTAGAAAGTAATGGAATGAAAAAATGAATCTGAAATGCAGTGAGTAGGGAAATCTTATATGGTCAAAATGAATTTATTATTTTTATTTATTTCTATCTTGCTTCCACAAAAGATATGAGGCAACTCAAATAAGAACAGATAATAAAAAATAATAGTAAAATAAAAATAGAAAGAATCAAGATGAAGGAAAACATAAATAAAAGGAAAAAGGAAAAGCCAGGGGGTAAAAAAACACCAATGGGTCTTTTACAGCATTGTAATAATCAGCTTCAAATCTGGCTCTGAGTTTCCTGGCAGACAGAGTGAAAAGGGAGACCAGTTACATAATTCTGACTATCAGATAGGAAGAAACATACCAGTGTCCCAGGGAGAGATTATAATTATTATTCACAAATAAAGACCTTAAATTCAATACCTCCCAGGGCTGTAAGATTAGCAGTTCTAAAGCCACAGGCCTGGAAATTGTTGGTGTTTTTTTCAGCAATTACCGATAGGCTTGTTACATAACTTTTAAAGGAATGGCCGCTGCTATTACAAAACTATCCTCAGGAGACATATTAGTCCATAAGGGATTCATAATGTTGCCAAATCTCTAGTTCTATTAAGTAGTTCCCACCAATATTTCTGAAATACACAGATGTGAACTGATACCTCAACCCTGTTTGGTGGAAGGGGGGAAAAGCCATTTCTAAATAGCAGGTGATGTTCAAGAAGCAGTTACACAGAACTATCTGGAATATTGAATAGGAGATTCACACACAAGGTGGAGGGTTGAATAAACTTTCCTCATAAGGCCCCTTCTAATTCTGAAGTTCTAAGGTCATGTTTTTCCATGAGGAAACTTTCTGTCTTGTTTATTGTGTATCCCTAGAACCAGTATGTTATTAATATTCAATGACTATTAGTTGAATGAATAATTGTTCACATTTGCTTATCTCAGGAATATAAACGAGAATAACCTGAAAGAATTAAACTTCCGGGCAGCACTGAGAACTCCTAGAGAATTCTTTTGCAGAGCCTCAATAAGTTCACTCTGCTATATTCGTCACCCATCTGGGATGGGACTGTTTGGCACTTTTCTTCTGTTTTCTGAACTACAGTGGGGGATTACATTGTACATGAAGCATAGGAGCTGCTCAAAACAACATCCACATAAATATCAGAATTTTAGTCAATCCATATATATCACAACTGAAGAACTTTTTTTTTTCTCTTAAGCAATAAACACTCGTTACCAGTAGGCTGGAGCCCAGATCAGCATCGGATGAAAAAGCATTTGTGAAGGGTTGATTGTGTATGTCCCTGTTTGAGGCTTTGTCCCAACAGAGACAGAATGGCTCTGTCTCCTTTGCTGGCCAGAACCCCAGTTGTGCAACAGAGCTGCAGCACATACTTGATGACTAAGACTGCAAAGCTCCCAAAATACAACAAACAACATGAGAAAGTCTCATCAGAGTTTCCTCGCATGTGTTGGCATGGAGCCCTGCTTTGTCAGAGAATACTTACAACAGGGCCACTTTCAGAGGGATGTAGCGCATTTCCATAGGGGTGCGGATGAGTTCAGCCACATCTGGGGCATACTGGTCTAGTTCTAGGAGGAGTTTCTGCTTTTTAAACTGGGAAAAAAAAAGAAAAAAAGAAAAAGAAAAAACACATGAAACCAATTATTCCCTGTTGCTTTTAGGATGAAGGCAAGTCTTTCCATGACCCACATGGCTCCCGCCCCACCTCCAGGCTCATCTCACACCTGCTCCCCCGGCCCCCCCCCCTTTCTGGGTTCCAGTGCCATGGACATGCCACGCCTCCCCTGCTCCCAGGCCTTTACGTTTAACCTAAAACAACCTCCCCTTTTCCCTAGTTCACACCCACATAGTCTTTCAGATCTCATTAAATCATCACTTCCTCAGGAAGGCACAGCACACTCACCCCACCCTGACGAGGTAAAATCTCCCTATTATACACATCCTTTCATAGCACTGTTCACAGTACTAGCTTTTTAATTTATTTATGGGACTGAATAATGTGTGTTTCCCTCACTAGACTGTGAGTTCCACGACTGGCAGGGACCATATTTATTTGCCAACACCTGGCACAGTGAGCAAACAATAAGTATCTGTTGAATGGCAACATGAATGACTTGAGCGGCAAGGCAAAGTTCTTAGCCATTTTGAAGAGTTATTATCAGTGGCCTCGGGACTCCAAAGTCCCATCAGCAAAGTGAAATATTTTCACGCAAAGTGAAATGATCCCTTGAATGTCACAGTATCTTGGGTTTTCTTCTGAGCGCTCCTGTTTCAAGTTTTGGACCTCCACAGAGGAAGTGGGGGATGGCCATGATGAAGAGGAGGAGGAGGAAGAGGAGGGGCGCTGGGTGTGGCTGGGCAGCTGGATAGGTAAGAGGGAGTGAGATAGGGGCAGAAAGCTCTTGCCTTCCCCTGGTGTGTCCCAACAAGTTCATGGGTGTGTTCCAGAATGAAAAAAAAGTTAGGTAACCTTATAAGCAAACATGGGTAAGACTATAGATAGAAAAAGCCTCTGAACTCAAAATGGGTCACCCTGCTGATTTAATGATGAGAGATTCTTATTTAGACAGTATAAAATCAATGCTGCAACCAACCTATTATAAAAACAGAGTAGTTCAGAGGAGTCAAAGAAACAAACACTTAACTATCTGTGTGAGTAAAGATTTAATGATGAAAAAAGCAGATGACAACAGAATATATACTGCATTATACCATTTACAGAAAGTTAAAAGCACACAAAATAATACTATATGTTATCTAGGGATATTTACAAATGTAGTAAAAGTTAAGGCCATGTGTGGGAATGAGAAACACTAACATCAGAACAGAGGTAACTGGTGAGAGAGGGAACGTGGAGATGAATGTATCAGAGAGAAGCAACTCTGCGTGTGATCCTTTCTTTTTTAAGCTCATATAGGTTCACAGTATGTATCACTCTTTATATATATATTTGAATGTCTTGGTTATTTAATAATGAAAAATTGTTTTAATGAAAAAACCTTTAAAGAGCCATCTTTCAGTTCAAAAGATAATCAAGGGATCCTCACAGGAATACAGGTAAACCCCCGATTTCCTGCATAGTTTTAGGTAGAAGCTTAATTAGAAAACCTAAACCAACAGTCAAAAACCTCCCTTTGATCATCTCTGAGAGTCCAAGTTAAGTGGTGGGAATTATCATCAGTAAGATTTATGCTGCCATTCAGGTGGGCTTGTTTAATTAAAAGGACAAAATATAAGCTAAGACGCTTGCATCAGAGAGAAGGTGGCTGGCTCAGCAAACAAAGTGCTTAGTGAGGACAGCATTGAGGCCCCATAGCTAAGGGTTCTGGAGTTCTTTTGCAAAAAGAAGGCCACCTGGAAGGTGTGAGATCCACAAAAAAAAGGCAGTTAAAAGAAACAGAGTTCATCCAGGAGCAACCAAAACAATGGGTGGGGGGCGGGGGTGGGGGGCGCCGGAGAATGCTTCGTTCCCCAGGCTGGAAGCCAGCCAGCAGGACTATAGTCAGAGATGGAGGCAGCTTAAACAGGGAGGTACAGACACTGGGCAAAGGTGACACCGTGCCAACAATGAAAGAAAAGTACTTCCTTGTAACCCCAATCTTCCAAATTACTTTAAAACAGAAAAATTTTATGAAAGGAGAGTTTCCAGGCAAGAAAGACACTCAGGCCAGCAGTCCCCCAATTCTCTGCTACCTCTCTTTTTGTCTCCCCCAGTATCACCAGCACAGCTGCCATTATGCCTGGCCTCATCAGCTCAATAGTGACTCAGCTCCTCTGAGCATAGACAAAATCCCTTTTAAAAATCCCCACTGCATCCAGTCAGAGACAGGAAAGTGGCTAAAAATTGAAGGAAAATTAAGCGTGTGCATGTGCATACATGCACACACACAACACACACAAGAAAATAGAAGTATAAAAATAAAAGAGGTTAAGGAGTACAAGTTAAAATCCAAAGGTAAATATTTCTAGATATATTCAGCCTTGACAATGATGAGATTTAAAGCTATCTAAGGAGAGGTTAAAAGTAACCTAAAGGGTAATGACCTGGATGTGTTACCTTTGTGATCATCAATCAGCTTGTACTCCCTTCCATATGTGTATTATATGTCAGTAGAAATTTTTGAATAATAAAAAAAAAAATCTCAGGGGTGGAGTTTTCCTTCCCTATTATCCACTCCCCTATGCAGCCCTTTCCTTGTCCCTTGCAAGGTTTGATTTTGCAAAGACATAACTCCCCTACTTCAAATAAAGAGCTTTTTTCTAATAATTGAAGCTGTGCCTACACCTTTTTGCATCCCCAAAACCTATGGTGGATTGCAGAGGGGTGAACACCCCTCCCACCCTACCCCACTGCATCTCCAACTGTTAACCTCAGCACATTCCAAATTCAGGAGCCTATCCTCCCAATTCCAACCCTCTAATCACATGGGCTTAGGGTTTAGGGATATGGGTTTTTATCACTCCTACCAAACCATCTGCAGATTTCTCACATGAATTCTGAGTTCCAAATAGGAAGCACAATCTCAGCAAAGGGCAGACTAGACTAACGTTGTTTTTGTCAAGTGAGGTAGACATAAAATGTCATGAGCGTCAACTGGTCACAATCAATCAGCACTCATATTCCACAGGCTAACAACTTGAAATAGAGTGGGGATGGAGTCCCCCTCTGTGCACCATCGTTTTCTGGGATGCTTTGGGATGTAGACACAGCTTCATTACCAGGGATAAAAAGTCCCAAATCCCAGCAAAACTAAAGTGTTTCCAGACTATGATTTGGGCCCATTCTGACAACGTGAGGAAGATCTGGGGGAAGACATGTGTTGATATTCTATCCAAACCAACAGTAGTAGTATATTACCATCATCAAAATCTGCCATTTAGAATGAGTTAATTTTTGACACGATGTAAATAAAATGCTTATTCTGACCAAGAAACCCAATGTTCTAATAGGCTGAATTCTAAGAATGAATAAACAAAACTATTCCAAACTATAATTCGGTGTCAGTGATAACAAAGAACATTTTGGTGTGCTAAAAAACAGGGTGTTGACAACAACTCATTTGGTTTCCTCTGTCCCTCTCTAAATCACACTGAGAAAACCAACAATCTCTATATGTTTCCATATAAACTCAGAAATAACTAAGAAATGAATTAAAACTACTGGTGCTCTAAATTAAAGGCTGTCTCTGCTACTGACACTGAAGCCTGACTTTATTAGGAAACGAACTGAAACCTAGTTTCATGACTTCCCCATAAGCTTCTCCCTCATTAAAAATTGTTTTAATTGGAGTATATGTGTGGTGTTTCTATGATAGTTGAAGAGAAAAAAAAAAGAATATGTATGTTAGCATCTCTAACCAACTTTCATTAAAACACATCTCAGTTTTACATTTTGGTTGAGAACATCTGACTGATTGTGTTCTTAAATGAACGCTACCAACCCTCCCTTAAATATTCATATATATCTTATATATACTATATATATGTACACATACACACACATTGGTGGGTATAGACATGGACCTATTTTTTTCTTTAGTGTGTTACATTACAAAATTTCAAATTACAGAAAGTTAAACGAATGATTCAATAAAACACCTAGACCCACCCATTGTTAAACATTTTGCTACATTTCCTTTATCACTACACACACATACACACAAACACACAAATATGCCCAGTATTTTTTTTTTGAACCATTTGAAAGTTAGTTGCAGATATCATAACCCTTCACCCCTAAATATTTCAGCATATAACTTCAAAGAACAAAAATTATGGTTTACATACACAATCTATCTTGGAGAAGAAAATAACCACTGCTAATTTATCTTTAAATTCCTCTGCTTATGAATCTCATGCCCAGTTAGCTCATCTCTGGCCTTATAGAGAATCCTGTTAAAACATTTTACCTCAGCCCCTAAAATTTTCTTTGCTTTTCTTTTCCATCTCTCTTGAAATACAATTGACATATTACACTGTACAATGTGATGATTTGATATACACATACATTGCAAGATGATTACCACAATGAGGTTGGTTAACACATCCATCACCTCATATAATTACTTTTTAATTTTTTTGTGGTGAGAGCATTTAACATCTACTCTCCTACCAACTTTCGAATGTACAGTACAATACAAAATTAACTAGCGTCTCTATGCTGTATATTAGATCCCTAAAACTTACTCATCATAGAACTAGGAGCTGGTACCCTCTGACCAGCATTTCTCCCACCCTCAACCCCTAGCAACCACCAATCTACTCTCTGTTTCTGAGTTTGATTTTTTTTAGATTCCACATATAAGTGAGATCTAGTATTTGCCCTTTTCTGCCTGACTTATTTCACTTAGAATAATGCCCCCAAGGTTCATCCACGTTGTCAAATGCTCCATTAGTTTAAGTTGTATACTGCCTGGTTTCAGTGATACTAAGTCTCTAAAATGTAGCTTTTAATCATTTAGGGGAGGAATCAAGGACTCTCAGCACTGATAACAGCTATGGACTCTCTACATGAAAAAAAATGATGCACGCACATACATATATAATTTTTCATACCATCTCAAGGGTTTTACAGGCCTGTTAAGCCTAATTATGGACCCCAAGTTAAGAACCCTCTGTCTAGATATTTTAAAAATCTCTCTGAGGTCTAGAATTTTAGAATTCATCAGCTTTATTTGTTACTGATGACCAGTGCCACAGACTTCTATTTTTGGTCCTATTACTTGGTAACAGAAGTGAAAATGAACCACAAACAGATAACACCAATGGGATGCAACCTTCTCTCTCACCCCAGTCTAAATCTTCTCAGTGGCTTCCAGCCAAAGAGGGCTGCAGCCAGCTTTTTAAATAACTACATGGAAAGTATACATGGTTAATCTGTTAACTCTCTCCCGCTATACAATTCCCCTTGGCTATTACATATGGATTAGGACTAAAGTTTACATCAATACTTTCAATGGGCATTTAGTACACACCAAATTTTCCAATTACAGTTGCTCTCTGTAGGGAAATAGAAACTACATTAGGAATCCACAGGCGTAGCACAGTGAGTTAAAAGCTGTATTCATTTTCCTTTGTAAAGAAAAACTGGTGAAAGGAATGGAAGATTTTTAAGGGTGCTCATTAATATAATTGTAGTTCTATTCCATTTGCTCCAGAAACTCTGAACCGGCACAGGTGAGTGGATATCAAGTTACAAAGATTAAGCTGACCTTTCTGTATTAGTAAAGCTGTCTCGTTGGTTTGGGTTTGGCCATTCCAGGGCTGGCCGAACAAGCCCGAAGCTTCACTCCCACTTCTTAGTATTTTAAAACAGTTGGATCCTTAAGTACATGGCTTTTGAGCCTTTGTAATAATTCTACCACTACTCACCACAACTTTATTGAAGTCTTGGATTGCAAAATATAGGGCAATGGCAGTGAGTGCATCAGTTATCTGTCAAGAGAAAAAGAAATAACAGGAAATAAACCCAATTAGTGTAGGAGTAATGGAATGCTGCCAGGGCCTGAAGTTTCTGGATGGTGGTGGACTATCCAGTACTGAACTCTTACAGTCAGGCAGAACCTCAGCTCTTACTTTGACTATCCAAAACTAAGCCTTTTTAGGTCTGACTGGAAATAAAGGTCTGACTGGAAAACCTGCTCTGTTATTGCAAGTTACTTAAGTTTTCTGTAAAGTGGGAATAATACCCACTGCTGTGCAGGCCTAATGTATGTCAAGTGCCTAGCACATAGTAAGTTCTCAATAAACAGCAGCCAGTAAAGTATTAAGGAAGACCTCAGTGGACCTCCTACTTGACCTAGATTTTCAACCCTAGATTAGGCAAGTGTTTCAAATTACTATGCTCTCAAAACATAGCCCTATCGTCTCAATTTGGAAGGTTCTTGCCCCTAAAAGTCTCATCAGGCCTATGTCCTCGTCACACAATCTCTTGGCAGAATACTTAGGAAACCGAGGATGCCCTCTACACTGGCACTACAATTAACGCCAATCACAGAATCTTGGGGCTAGAAAATTCAAGGCTACATATTCCAGAAATCAAATTTTAAAAGTATAAGAAATTGGAACTGGTCAGATATTAGAAACAATGCCTCACATCCATAATACAGTTGACTCTTGAATACCACGGGTTTGAACTATGGGGGTCCACTTATACACAGATATTTTTCAATAAATACCTATAACATTGTCCACCCAGGGTTGGGAGTTTGAGGGTGTGGAGGGCCGACTATATGCATTGAGCTACATACACCATTTTATATAGGGGACTTGAGCATCCACGGATTTTTGGTATCTATGGGGCAGGAATTCCTGGAACCAGGCCCCTGGATACTGAGGGACAACTTAAGATTTTGGGGAGTCAAAAGTTATACACAGATTTTTTACTACACGGGGACTGGCATCCCCACGTTGTTCAAGGGTCAACTGTACTATCACACTTGCAATGAATTCAAATTAAAGATAGGTTTTTGCTTTTATATTCTGACAAACACCTGAGCTCCTAAAATAGTTTTTCTTAAAAACAAGAAGATTAAAGACAATAAACATTTAAATACATACATATTGATTTTACATGCAGGGTTGCTTACCATAAATACCAATTCAGCATAGTCAATCAGGAAATGAAAGAGGTATATTATTAATGGAGTCTGCAGGAAAAAACAAATAAGCAAGCAAATCAAGTTAAATCTTACTTTTAAGTAAATCTTACTATTATCAGTTTCTATCAGTTTCCATCCTGTTGGCAAAAATCTCTTTCCTAGAATACTGTTCTATACTAGTTGGCCAGTGTACACATGTGAGGGAGAATAATTTTGTTATCATTGGATCATTTTGTGCCACTGGGGCTATCTGCTGAATTGTGTAAAGAGAATAAACAAAATCCGAGGTGTTAAATATCCATTTAAGAACTGTTAACATATTAAAGGTATGAGATGAACTTTAGTTCTAAAACATACATAACAGCCAAGGGGAACTCCACAGTAGACCAAGAATGCTGAACTCATAAAATAAACTGAGAAATGTTTTTCCCTCCTTCTGTTCTTTGAGACGTTTTGTATGATAAGGATTATTTCCTCCTCAAAGAGTTGGGAAAATTCACTTATTGTGAAGCCGTCTTGGCCTTTTCTTCGAGACAAGATTTTTTAATCACATATTCAAGATTTAATTTTCATTCCTAATTACAGATATAATTTCTTAACACTACTCAGATTGCTATTTTTTCTTTCTTTTTTTTTTTTTTTAAAGATTTTATTGGGAATTGGGGAAGGGAACATGGTGATTTTCCAGGACCCATCATCTCCAAGTCAAGTTGTTGTCCTTCAATCTTAGTTATGGAGGGTGCAGCTCAGCTCCAAGTCCAGTCACCGCTTTCAAACTAGTTGCGGAGGGGAATGGGGGGTGGGGGTAGGGGGACACAGCCCACTATCCCATGCAGAAATTGAACTGGCAACCTTGTTGTTAAGAGCACGCACTCTAACCAACTGAGCCATCTCGCTGCCCATTGGCAGCTAAGCGGCAGCTCAGCTTGGGCGCAGCTCACTGGCCCATGTGGGAAACGAGCCAGCGACCCTGTTGCTCAGAGCTCGCGCGCTAACCAACTGAGCCACCCAGCCAGCCCTGATCTTTTTTCTTTACCAGTTTAGGTAACTTGTGGTTTTCTAGGAATTAGCTCATTTCATTCAATTTTCCAAATTTTTGGCATAAACTTGTTCATAATATATTTTAGTGCCTGTAGGAACTACAGCGATGTTCCCTTTTTCATTCCTGATATTGGTAATTTGTATCTTCTCTTTTTTATATGGACAAGTTTTGCCAGAGATTTCTTAATTTTATTACTCTTTCAAAGAATCAACTTTGGGTTTTGCTGATTATTAGACTTTTGTTTTCTATGTCATTAATTTCTGAAATTCACAATATACAATTCTTCCTTCAACTTTTTCTGGGGATAATTGCTTTCCTTTTTCTAATGACACCTAGATCACTGACTTTTAGACTTTCTTTTGCCCTAATATATTCATTTAAGGCAATAAATTTTCCTGAGTATGGTTTTAGCTGCATCACACAAGTTTTGATATAGTTTGGTTTTTTTTTCAAAATTATTCAGTTCAAAATATTCTAATATCCACTGAGGTTTCTTCTTTAACTGACACTACTTTAAAATGTAGTGTTCAATTTCCAATTATTTGTAAGTTTTATTTTTATAATTTATTTCTAGCTTAATTCTACTGTGGTCACAGAAAATACTCTGTATGATTTCAATCATTTAAAATGTGTTGTGACTTGCTTTATGGTCCATCACATGGTCAATTTTGGTAAATTCTCCATGTACACTTGAAAAGAATGTGCATACTAACCTTTATGGCTGTAGCATTCTTTTTCTTTTTTTTTTTTTTTTTTCAGCTGAGCCATCCTGCTACCTGTTGGCAGCTCAGCGGCTGCTCAGCTCGGGCTGGACTCGAACCACTGTTGCTCAGAGCTCAAACTCTTGAGCGAGCTCTTAACCAACTGAGCCACTCGGCCAGCCCTGGCTGTAGCATTCTATATATGATATTAGGTTAATTTTGTTAATGATTTGCTCAAATCTTCTATATTCTTATTGGTTTTTCAGTCCATTAGTTACATCAGTGACTAAAAGAGGTATGTTAAAGATCACCCTCTATGACTGTGACTTTGTCTATTTCCACTTTTAGTTATGCCATTGTTGGTTTATATATTTTGAAGCTATTTAGTTAGATGCATTTATATGTAGAATTACTCTATCTTCTGAGTGAACTGATATTTTTATCATCATAAAATAATCCTCTTTACCTCTAGCAATGTTTCTAGCCTTAAAGTCTTCCTTATCTGATATTCATACAGCTACATCAGCTTCTTTGGGTTAATGTTTGCATGCTATATCTTCTCCTATAGTTTTACTTCCTACTTTGTGTCCTTATATGTAAGATGTATTTCTTAAAAGTAGCATACAATTATTTTTCTTTAACCCAATCTGACAATCATTATCTTTAGTTGGATTTTTAGTCTATTCATATTTAATGTAAAGACTGAAATACTTGTGTTTATCACCTTACTATTTTATTTTCCATTTGTTTCATTTTCTTTATGCTATTTTCTCTCCTTTCTTGTTTGCTTCTGCATATTTTTTATGATTCCATTTTTCCCTCTATTAGCTTGCTGGTTATATATTTAGCTACTATTCTTTTAGCGGTTAACCTACAGATTATGACATACATTGTTGACTTTAATTAGAGTATAATATAAATCATTACTTTTACCATTTCCTAGATCTTTGAACACTTTAACACCATAGAGCTTCTCCCAAACATTTCTATTATTGTTGTTATAACTTCTTTGTGTTGTTATAACTTTAATTCTATATATTAAACCCATAAGACATTATTATTTTATACAGTCAATATTTATTTAGATTTACCCACATATTTACCTTTTTCATTGTTATTTATTCTTTCCTATATTCCATGAGGCTGTCGAGGACATAATCAATCCTTCTGACTTTTTTGTATTTTTTAAATGCAAGTCTGCCGGCAACAAATTCTATCCATTTTTATTTGCTTGAAAACACCTTTATTTTGCCTTCATTTCTGAGAGATATTTTCACATAGTATAGAATTCTATGTTGGCAGTTATTTTCTTTCAGCGCTATTGAGATAACTTTCCATTGTCTTCTGGATTCCACCACTTTTGTTGAAAAAGTTAGTTTCCATTTTGCTGTTCTTTAAAGATAATACCCTCATGGCTGTCTTTAACCTGTCTTTGGTTTGGAGCAGTTTTTTTGTTTTTTTTTTTTAAAGATTTTCATTGGGGAATTGGGGGATGGAACAGCGCTGGGGAATTGGAAGAAGGGGAACAGACAAGTTGCTGTCCTTTTGTTCTTCAGTCTAGTTGTGGAGGACATTGCTTCACTGGCCCAAGCTGGCACCATCATTGTGCTCTTCCTGGGCAAGGCAGATCAGTCGCCGGCTTCTGGACATCCGCTCATGGCGGCTGCTGGCCGCTCACACTGGCTGCTTGCTACACACGGTAGCCCATGGCAACCCACTGCAGCAGGGGCTGCAGCCTACGCCGTCACCGGCGACTCACGGCAGCCCAGCTCCAGGTTGAGCTGTTGTTCAGCATCTTAGCTGTAGAGGGCAGTGTCACTGGCCCTCACATGTGGGATCCGAACTGGGGCCCTCTGGCGTCCCAAGCCAGCTCTTAACCAACGCGCCACTCGGCCGGCTAATTTTTTTCTATATTTTCTACCCTTTGCTCTCTACGCTTCAGTCTGGATATTTTTTACAGACCCATCTTTCAGATCACTAATCCTCTCGTTAGCTTTGTGTAATCTGCTGTTAAACTCACTTATTGCATTCTTCTTTTTTTTTTAAAGTGGAGAAAGAGCAGCTTGTTAGAAGAAAAAGTACACTTCAAAGAGGTAGAAGTGGGCCTGAGCAGAAAGCAGTGGCTCAAGGGCCCATTATTAGAAGAGAAAGTACACTCCAAAGAGTTTGGAGCAGGCCGAGCAAAAGAAGGCGCTCAAAAGCACTTATTGCATTCTTAATTTGTAATTATGTTTTCCAGTTCTAGAATTTCCACTTGATTCATTTTTATATATTTCAGTTCCCGGGTGAAATTCTCTATTTTGTCATCTATTTTTTGAACATATTAATCATTGATCAATTATTTTTTTTTTATTTATATATATATATTTTTAAGCTGATCCATCGCTGCCAACAGGCAGCTCACCAGCAGCTCAGCTCAGGCCAGGAATTGAACTGGCAACCCTGTCGCTCAGAGCTCACACTCTTGAGCGAGCTCTTAACCAACTGAGCCACTCGGCCAGCCGATCAATTATTTTTTAAAGTCCAAATTTGATAACTTGATACCTATATCACCTGTGAATCTGTTTTTATTGCCTGTTTTTTTCTGTCTCTTATTATGCTTGGTAATTTTGATGGAATGATGGACATTGTGTATGAAAAATTGCATAGATGCACAGATGCTATATTGAGGCTATTTTCCTCCAAAAAGGATTTCTTTAAGATTCTGGCAAGCAATTAGAATAGAATTATATTGCCTTGATCTAATTAGGGATATAGCTAATTAGAAGCTGGATTCAGTCTTTGGAAGACTAGTCTATAACGAGGTCTACCCTTCTTCTTTGGGGATAGTCCCTCAGAGATCCCAAATGTTAGCCAAGTCCCCTACCAGAACCCTGCCACCTCGTTGGCCATGCACTCAAATTGGTAGTTCCCAAGCACCATGAGTTTGCCAATAGCTCCTTAACCTCTTACAGCCAATTTCTATTCTGTTTCTCTGCCTGTCAGCCTGTGCCTCTTACAAACTGGTAAATGCATCAAGGAGAAAGCAGCTCAGAAGGTCAGTCTCACTTTTTGTACTTTCTTCTCTGGGATCTCAGCCCCTTGAGTCCCGGCTATCTTGGTACTTTTCAATGCCTTCAAACATTTGTTTTTGTATTTATCCTGCTTTTCTAATTGTTCTAGGCAGGAGGGTTGTTCTACTGCTAAAAGCGAGTTCACCAATCCACCAGAACCATAAGAAAATTGCATGATTTGGTTTTAGTGAGCCCACGCTGGTGACTCAGAAGCATCTCTTCCCAAACCCAACCACATGCAAAAATGTGTCC